CACAGAAATAGTAGTTAATGGTACTAACTCATTATCTATTTTTTTCATAAATCTCCGAACTGAAATTATTTCACTATCAGATGACAATTTTTGGTACAATTCAAAACAACTTGTTTCCTTAGGGATAAATCGGATGACCCCCACTCTCTCCACAGAGGATGCAGGGATATAGGCTCTCATATTATTTTCTTGCAGACATTCGTTGGTCAAAAAATTGTTAGCTGCAGCTGCTTGTTTGAACACAAACATTATTTTAGTAGCACTAACTCTGCGCCGTTCGTGTATTCCTTTTACGCCCTTAAATAGCTTTGATATGGTAAGAGGATTTTTATTTCCCAATTTTTCTTCCTTGCTCAGACTTTCAACGTAGACAGGGTATTCTTCAATTTCTTTATTAAGGTCAGAATATAATCTTTTGTAACCAGGTTTGGTGTAAAACTTAAAATTTGCCTCCAAATCATTCGAAGGTTTTTCCTTTGGCGCGCTAAGTTTTCTTTTCTTTTTATTGGTATCGGACCACCCGGTATCGATATCAATAATATCATCTTCGTCATCAGTCTTCATCGACATCTTGATGCTATTAACTGCTACTTATTAGCAGTTTATACAATTTATTAACAATAAAATAAAAAAGAGATTTTATAATCCGCGCTTTTACTTTCCCGCCGAAAAGCCCAATATTTTTTAAATAAATAAATCATTGCCACTTACACATAATTTTATTGACTTACAGATGGACAACTTATTAGGGGCACATAAAACTTTAATATCTTCTATATATATAAAAATGAAACCCGTTTTCCGTTGTCACGACATAACATGAAAACGACTTGACCGATTTGGCTGATTTTTTTTGTAGTTTTCTAATACTCTGTACAAGGTTCTTACGGAAAAAAATATAAAGAAAATCTCTCAGAAATATTGAAAAATATAACGTAACGAATGTCAACGTCATTCAATTTAAAACAAAAAATCTGTGGTAATCTGTGACACCACATCGATAACCGCGCTGACAAATGTCAACGTCATTCAATTTAAAACAAAAAAATCTGTGGTAATCTGTGACAACCAAGTGACAACACATCCATAACCGCGCTAAAAATATAGGTACTCATACATAAGATAGGTCAGCTATACAAAATAAAGTAGTGCATCAAAGCTACGCCAAGGCGGTACGAAGTTCGCCGGGTCAGCTAGTTGTAAATATAAATTAACTGATAATTATTTAAGTGTTTGATACATAAAAAGTACAATCGGTTAATAAACATCAAATATATTACCATACTAGTGGGTGACTTCGTCTGCGTGGAAAGCTGGTTGCCCATAAAAACTTTCACCCCTCCTTTTCAGCCCCATAGATGTTCTGGTTCTGGGATAAAAACTATCCTATGTGCTTTACCGGTACTCAAACTATATCTTAAACAAATTTCAACCAAATTGATTCAGTGGTTTAAGCGTGAAAAGGTAACAGACAGACAGGTAGACACACTTTCACATTTATAATATAAGTATGAATATGATATGTTTGACACACACACAAAGCTAGGCAAAAAACTACACAAAGATAGACACACACGCAAGGTACATAAAAACTTTTTGAGTGAAGAACTCGTAGCGAAATCTTAAGTGTCCATGGAAGAACCAGTACCTAATTAAAAACCATAAAAAAGTTAAAAAGTCTAGTGATACCTAGTACTTACTGATTACGAGTATTTTCAAAAGGTAAAGTACTTACCATCATGTGGGTTAAATTGAATTAACAGCCTGCATTTTAAGTAAAATACCTACTAGCTACTTAGAGCATCAGCAATGTAAAAGATTTCAACGAGTTACAAAACTTAATAAGCGAGCAAACTTTTATGACCTTGGAAAATAAACTTTTCAGTATTGCCTCGTCTACAGAAAGGTTGACAATAATATGTAAATACCTAATTTTGGTTATTACTGCCATACATAAACTCACTAAAGATGTCTAAGGAACATGTTGTACGGGTTTGAACTTTTGAACGAATTTTACTATTGTAATACCTATATTGATATCACTATCGAAAAGTTCCTATTTATTATGTGAGTCAATTATATTTTCTAGAGTAAAAAATATTGAATAACAATCTACTTAGCTAAATTAAATATTAATTAATGGAACACATAGTTTTTGTAAATGATGTGTGTTGCAGAGACTTTTTTGATATGTGTAACTATCAAATGTTCATGTTATTGTGCCCTTCACTTATTGTTCCTTTGGCATCACCACACAGTGACTTTGAGAGTCGTAACACATTTTGTGGTCATAGGTAGCAAGAAAGTAAAACCAAGTGCCAGTCCTCCGAAATCGCACCAATATTCATAACATTACTTTGATCTTTGCTCTACAGACAGTGCATACAGTAGTTACTTTTAAAATAAAAGGAATTTAAGTCTCAATACGGCTCCATGGTTACCTATATTTAAGGACCTTTTTTTTTTTGGGACGAGGGGAAATGCAGTTACGCACCATACCGTGACGCTGACTAGGCGCACGGCGTGTGTGGGACTCGCCGGCACGGGAAACAGTGCCGACCCTACTCAAGCAGGACCAGTGCGGAAGGCCACACTGATCCTACTCCACTAAAACCCCCCGTTACCCTACTACGCATATATAGGTTTTCGGTAAAAATTTATTTCTGTTTGTGGTTGTACTCGTGCTAAAGTAGAGTTCGGATGAGTAGGGGAATTGCATAGAACTTGGGTTCAGTACAGTAAACTGGTAAAGTAAGTATCTTTCTTCGAATTTGCTATCTTCGTCACTGTCTCTTTTACTTTTGGAGATTAAAATGAAACAGCAGTATGGCCATAAGTTTCCTGTTATGGGGGAGGAGGAGGGAGAGTACCTAGTACCAGCCAACTGGCAAAAAAGAACTGAAGAAATGGCATAGAAAAAATAACCAGTGAAACGTTTTTTGAATAGACAGACGCTCGCATGCCATGGAAATACAGGCCGTTAGTATTAAGTATTAGAATAACTATAAGTATGTACTTAGTCAGCTCGATTAACGCATCTTGTGAACAGGTTAGAAGAAATAGGAATAAGAGGGACTGCCTTGTCTCTTTTCGAGAATTACCTATTAGGAAGGACACAGGTAGTGAAGCTTGGTAGTTATTACAGTGATAAGGAAGAGGTTGTCTTTGGTGTTCCACAAGGGAGTGTACTTGGCCCTACACTTTTTCTGGTGGACATTGATCGTTTGTGTAGGCTTAGAGTTGACAATGCTAAAATTTTTTCTTATGCAGATGATACTGCCATTGTATTTTTTGGTCCTTGTTGGGACACTGTACAGAAGTTCACTGAATTGGGTCTGGCAGGGATAGCTAAATGGTTAAGCGTGAATTTACTAACTTTAAATATATCTAAGACTAAATACGTCTGTTTCACTCCAAGTCAGAGATCCCAACCAGATCCTAAGTTTCAAATTACTATACATCACTGTGGTAATATTCTCAGCGCTGGCTGTGGATGTTGTTCCATTCAAAAGGTTAACTCGCTAAAATACCTTGGTGTTCTTGTTGACCAGAGACTGTCCTGGCACAACCATATTGATTTGGTTATTAGTAGGTTAAGGAAAATGAAGTGGATTTTTAAGACACTACGCCATGTTATGCCTTATAAACTGCTTAACCGTGTTTATATTGCTCTTGTTCAGTCTGTGGTTACATACTGTATCCCAGTATGGGGTGGTGCCACAAAAACTAAACTTCTTGAACTCGAAAGATCGCAAAGATCACTTATCAAAATAATGTATTCTAAACCATGGAAATACCCCACTGACGATCTATATAAAATTAGCAATCTTTTTACAATTAGGAAATTATATATTTTAAATCTTATACTAAAAATGCACGAAAGTTTACCTTTTGATTCAAACAAAATTAACAGGAGACGCAAGCACGATGTTGCTCAGTCTGGCAAGATTCGTACAAAGTTCGCTAAACGGCAATATAGTAATCAATCAGTGTTTATTTATAATAAAGTCAATAAGATATTAAATATATACCATATGAAAAAGCACGAATGGAAGGAAGTAGCTGAGAAATGGCTAAAATCATTAGCTTATGAAGAGACAGAAAATATTTTAAAAAGAATTGTACAGATTAAAGAATTAAAAATATAATAATGTTTATTTCTTTTAATACACATAATAAAATATTCTTAACTACACTACACTCTCACACATACTCACAATACACATACTCACACCACACTCTTAACAAATCATGCTCACACACTTCTCATGCACTAAATGTGGGGACTACCTACTCAGATAAAGATGATTGTCTTGTTTTAAATTGTCTAATTAATATATTTTCTTCTAAATATTTTTGTTAACTGGATACAAAGGTTTTGGAGCGAAACAGGCCCAACACAAGTATTTTATAATTACTTACTGGGACCGTTTCATCGTTTTTAAATTGTATGCATTTATGTTAATAAAAATACTTTTATTATTATTATTTATTATTAACGCATTGGATAGATCGCAATCCCATTTTTTACAATGAACATATAAGGGTAGATAGAGTACAGAACATGAACTCAATCGACCCCAAAAATCTGGTGGTGTAATAACCAAAATACTAGAAACCCTATGAGACATCTACTTAGTTTTATGTAGTGATGTGCCGAATATCCGTATCCGTATTCGTATCCGCGGATATCCGAGGCAGAAGAAAGATCCGTATCCGTTACTTTTTGTGGGATCTTTTACGGATCTATTTACCTGATTAATTTTAAATTTATAGATAAAATTATTTAAGGCGAAGGGTAAGGCGCACTAGCGACGCCAATTGCCGAGATTCTGACGGTCCACAATTATTTAAAATAGATCTGGTTTAGTAGCTAACAATTTAAAGCAATTGGCGTCGCTAGTGCGCCTTACTTTTTGCCTTAAATAGGTGATTAGGTAGCAATAAAAAACTATTAAATTCAATACAGATATTCTTTTATTTCTTAAAATCAAATATTTGGCTCCTTTATGTTGCAAACTTTGCCATAGTTAGTTATCATACCAATAGTATATAAGGTACTAAATCAACTAGCTTTTTAATGAGATCAATATTATAAAAAGTTATAAGATCACTTTTTAATTTTTTTTTAAGAAAACAAAACTTAGATCTTCGTAATACTTTAAATTCGAAATAAATAATTTTTTAATCAAGTAAACTAGTACTGCGTGACGACACATACAGTGTTAATGTTAGATAAAAATCACAATGACAATTAGAGGAACTTAAAAAAATTATAAGTCATAATTGAAATTTAGTAATGGTAAATTATACTTCAAAAAGAGTAACTTGGCAGCTTTGTCCCCCAAAAGTCTGTTACGATGAGGATCATAAAAAATTTGTGCTGCACTAAAAAATTGCTCACTTGGAATACTTGTTGCAGGTGATGATAAATATGTGCGAGCAATGTGACTAAGAACTCCAAACTTTTTACTGTTAATTTAGTTGATATTGATCTCTTGGTAATCTTTTTTCTCACATATATTCGATGAGCAAATTGCCTTTCGTATCTGATATTTGATTTTCAGATTGCTCGTCGTCATCATCACTATCTAACATCTTAGCAATAGACTCTTCTAGGCTCGTGCAATGTTCTTTTCTAACAGTAATTGGTTTGTCTTCAGTACTGATTGTAGTTGCTGTGAGATTTACTTCAGTTTCTAAAACTGTAAGCAATTTTTCTTTTATTTCTCTTATGAGAATCTCACTGAAACATTTCCCTTTGTAACGTGGGTCTAAAAATGTGGCTACTTGAAACAAAACATTTTTATCATTTTCAGAAAAACGATACTCTAATTCATTCTTCAAAGCAGACACAAACTCAGTCATAACTGCGGATACACTGACATGCAATTTTTTCTGAATCTCGTCATAGATTTTACTCAATGCTCGTACTAGAGGAATAACGTCAGATATACACGTGTTTTGTGAGCTCAATTTTTTTGTAGTGTCTTCCAAAGGCTTCAGCACTTTTATTAATTCTTCATCGGCATCAAATTGTTCTATTTTATTATTAGAAGAATAAAGTGACAACGAATGCTTGATGCAATCGAGTCTTTCCAACATATAATAGCTGGAATTCCAGCGTGTTGGTGAGTCTTGGAAAACTTTTAGAACTTTTTGATTGAGTCGAACTTGTTTTTTCTATTTTTCTAATTCTTGCTTCGCCATCGTGGAATGGTAGAAATGTCCAGCAATTTTCCTACATTTTGTAAGTAATATGGAAATTTCATTAACTTTTTTAATTGCTTCTTTAACCACCAAATGTAACAAATGTGCTGTACAGTGGATACTATACACTTCAGATAAATAACAAGCGCGCTTCATATTGGATCCCCCATCTCTAACCATACAGTGCACATTTTGTTTCGAAATTCCCCATTCTTCTAACTAGTGATGTTACGGTCTTGAATTTTGACAAACCGGATTTGATCGGTTAGTAATACATGCAAATCGGTTTCCGAACCGAACCGCCAAATTTTCAGTAAACCGCGGTTTGAACCGTTTGACGAGTTGACGAATGAAACTTACGAAACAACAGGTGCTATTTTTTTTTATTCTACATATTTTGTTGATATTTAAAGGTAATTGAAAAATAACAATTAAAATATGGAAACAAATAATAATAATCAGAATTAAAAATGTCAAAATAAACAAATATTTATGTAATACCGTGTTTAAAAAATTACAAAAAAATATGTAAACTCTATTAATTACATAAAACCGTACTTCTTAACTTTGAGAATAAAATACAATTTTAATAATCAACAATATAATAAACACGTAACTTATTTTTGTAAAATCATTTGAGTCGTAGAAACTTAATTTGGTACAAACAACTTAATTAAAAAGTTTTCTTACAACTGTTTAGGAATAATATTTGGTCTATTTTTTTAGAAGCTGGGCAATTACGTCGCATATTACATAATAATGAAAACAAAATTACACCGTCAAGTCAGTCAAATCTACCAGAGTCCGTTTCATTTCGGTTCGGTCGGTAAGTCGGTTATGGCTGTTGTATTTAAATTGACGATGCGCACTAACCGTATCCGCTGCTGTAAGTCGGTTCGTATTGGTCGGTCAAGTTTTATTAGGGTCGGTAAAGCACGTCAGGAGCCGCACGCGATTTGTGGATGGCGGCATAAACAAGAATTGACAGGCGCGCATGCGCGCAGCGCGATACGAACGATTGCCACGGTAGAACCGGTTTACGAAGACGTTAACCGATTCAACTCGGTCCATGCTCAAACCGGTTTGAACCGGTTTGAAAAGTCGAGTCGTTACATCTCTACTTCTAACATACTTTGAAATATTTCCGAAATATTATCTCCCGTGTGACGTTCTTCAAGAACTTCCGCTTTCAAAACCATATGTTTTAGTTGAAAATCTTTAGTAATACCATGACATGTTAAGGATAACAATGAAACTCCTGATGAAGAGTCAGACCAGATATCTGATGTGAAGGAAACTTTCTCAAAATCTTGTAACATGTCTTTTATTTTTAATGACACTTTATCGAAAAGCTCACTACAAACAAGGTCCGTAAAATACTTTCTACCTTTTAAAACATAATTTGGAACAATATGGTCCATCAATCGGCGGAACCCTAATTCTTCTACGTGTTGAAAAGGTAGATCTGATAAAGCTAACATTTCAGCAATCAAATAGTCTATTTATATTGATTTGGGGTTTGTATTATCCCACATTTTAGCTTTTTCCATGTATTCTTTAAAAAAAGTCTGTTTAAATTCTCTTTTTACCGTTTGTAAAGATGTTCCGGGCTGTGATATTTCGTCGATATTCTTCTTAGCAGAGTCCTCTTTAAAGAATAATTCATATTCTTGAGGATGTTTTCTTTGTAAATGATTTTTTAAGGAAGTTGTGCCTTTACCTTTACGAGAATACTTTCCATCACAAATTTTACACTTTGCACATTCATCATTTATTAACACAAAATAATTCCAAATTACACTACTAAACTTCTTTGTAAACATTTTTTTAAACTCATGTACCAATACCAAATACAAGCGTTATCTATGCTGCCCAGTGTCACATTAAACTAAAACAAAACAAAAAAAAACCCGCCGCGCAATGCAAGTCGAAACATGTCTCAACACAAGATCGCGCGCACCGACACCGACTGTGTGTACTAAACTTTAATCGTTCATTTTTTTTTTTGCCTAAACAGCAGGACACGGCATTCCTAAACATTGATAAACCAGTTTTTTATATAGTCATATTTTTTATTATATTAGCATTTGTAATGGAAAGTGACTTTATGAGTTACCTCATATTGAAGTCATTTTTCAATTTGACGACTCTGTATACAATACAGGGCGAAAAAAAACAGCCCTTGCTGAGTTTCTTGCCGGTTCTTCTCAGTACAAGGTCTCCCGCCGTAGATTTGCGAACCGATGGCGTAGCTTTTCGACATTCACAAGTGCTTGTAACAGCCTAGACTGAATAAACGATATTGAATTTTGAATTTTGTGTAAGAAAGTTAAGATCCGTATCCGTATCCGTATCTGCGGATCTTGACACCAAATATCTGTATTCAGATCCGTATCCGCGGATCTACATTTTTGACGATCTGGCACATCACTAGTTTTATGGTACGTCGTGGCACGGTTTTACTCTCAGAACACGTGGTTTTACTAGTGCTGGTAATAAAATTATTTAAATTGTATATTGCTATCTGCTATCTATATTGCTATCTAGTAATCGATAACAATAGCATGTAATTACATTTTAATCTTTTGCCAAAAGTATAATAAATACCAAGTACTTAAAAATTGGAAAAAAATATAAAGTTATTTATACTTAGTAAATTTAATCTGTTAGGTATTACATACAATAATTGTTACAGAACATTTTGTCGTCTATCCTTCTTTTGCTTGCATTAAAGTTGGTAAAATGAATCGCTTCTATGGTATGAATCTATGAAATACCAAAAATAGCACTCGCGCCGTTGCATTCCCTGACCCAATCCCCTTAAAACCCTGGAACCTTACACACCGACGTAAACACACCCCAGCGCTAACGACTGTAAATGTAGCCAGGATCAACTATTTTTAAAGTACATTAAATGTCAAATTAACATTTGGAGCCGGTGCCATGAATGTTCATAGATCAGAGTTGCTAATACTGCTTTCGTTGGCATTGGCACCTACACCAATACCCCCTTATTAATAAACAAAGAATAAGCTTGGATTAGTTACTCCATGTTTTGTCTCTGTTCACGGCGTCACTAGTCTAAGCTTATTCTTTGTTTACTAATAAGGGGGAGGATGTTTATTTGACATTATGTACTTTAGATAAAAGATTCATGTTTTCTTTTTTTCTTTTCGTGGTTGTGTTTTTGTTGTGGTTTTCATTTTTGTATAAAAAGTTTTTAAATTTGGCCTTTTTTAAGCCAGACCTACGTCAACTACATAACTAAGTATAGAATCTGGCCTGCATTATCTCTTTAAAATCTCTTATAAAATAACCAAACACGAATTGAGTACAGTTTGTTATTGAGGAGTTCTATTGTTTTCTCTAAAAGTTCTTCATCCAATGAATATGACCATCTTGCCAAAAAACTGATTTAAACAAAAAAATAATCATCAAAATCGGTCCACGCATCTCGGAGATATGCGCGAACAAGAAATATACTGACGAATTATGAACCTCCTCATTCAATTCGTGAAGTTTGTTAAAAAGGCGAACACTGCGGTTCCCGGAATTATACATTTTGTCCTAACTTTCTTATTGATTTATTTTTAGGAGCTTATTTACTTGATTACGATAAGCATAGATATACGTTCTTATCCTTTTATCATGAGGTGATCCTCCTAGGGATAGCACATTGGGTACGCCAGTTAATCCATAATGAATGACATAATCTTAATCTTGTAAATGCTCATTCGATAGTTCATACCTACTTAATAAAAAAATACGGTTCAGAAGTTGCCACGTAATAACAAGAGCATAATGTGAGTTGGTCCGTGTGAAATATTTATAAAATATTATTATTTATAATAAAAGAGTTAAAATAAAAACTAGCCAAGGGCGAGTCGTGCCAGTTGCCTATCACAAAGCGCAAATCGTAAATTTCGAGGCATGATAGGACAGCATCCAGTATACGGGCACTCGCGCTTAAGTGCTATATTTCGCTGGCGCAATGACACTTGACTCTAATAAAAAATACATTGGGGAGGTACGCTAGAAAACAGCAAACGGGAGGGTCGTGGAATACTCGGTTGGACCGAAGTTAAAAATATTTATATACCACCCACCAATCCGCACTGGGCTCGCGTGGAGAGTTTTGGTTCAATCACCCTATTCCATAATAAAAAAAAGTATTTTACCAACTAATACACACAGGCCCCGCGTGGTGCCCCACCAATCCGCACTGGGCCTGCGCGGCGAGTCATGGCCGTAGCCAGACGTCCCGATTTGCAATCAAAATTTAATGTCCCGCGCGGGACAGGCTCTATCCCGCTTTTCGGGAATAACTCGACCGTGCGTGCAGCATACTGAGAAAGTGCGGGCGGGTGGCACAGACAAGTGTGGACTGGCCGCTTGCCCGGCGTGTAATGAAGATTAATATTCAATACCTTTTGATTAAATGGTTTTTTACTATGTCCCGCTTTCACCGAAAGAATCCCGCTTTTTTCACTCAAAAAGTTCCTAAATCCCGACTTGGCAAAAAAAATCTGTCAACGCTGTCATGACACAGATTACTTAATAGTTACTACATGAGTCATGGCTCTATTCCATAACAAAAAAATGGGTGCGTGTACTTATGTAGGCGCGTGAGAAGTTATCCTTCTTTGGCATCGTTTAAAATTAGTTTTTAATTGCATGCAAATAATTAATTACAATAAATTAATAAAAAGTCTGGAAAAGGACACAGTCAATAAAGTTCAGTTTTAATTTGAAAAAATAAATAAATAATCAAAATATTCAATTAAAATCGCTACTGAATATAATTTATTAGAACATATGTGATTTGCACTTGTATGAAACTCAAACACGTATTCCGAATATACAAACTAGAAACATGCGGATAAATATTATAAATATGAATACCTATAACTGTTACTTTATTACAAAAAATAAAGATGTGGTTTTTGGTTCTACTACACCAATGGTCAAGAGATGGCGCTGTAGTCTCCTGAATCGCGCTTTGGTTCCGTTGTTCCAGATTAATAAATACTTTTGATATTATAAATATGAATACCTATAACTGTTACTTTATTACAAAAAATAAAGATGTGGTTTTTGGTTCTACTACACCAATGGTAAAGAGATGGCTCTGTAGTCTCCTGAATCGCGCTTTGGTTCCATTGTTCCAGATTAATAAATACTTTTGATAGGCCTTCACAATGCAGTCGTTAGCACCCACTTAATAGAGATTCTATTTCTATTTTGTTGGTAGATTTTCTTAGTGTGCGGTAAACACAAAAGTAACGCATGAAGTTGGTCGCTTTAGCGAGCGACGTTAAAATTTTGTGTTACAGTGATGCGCGCGCATCTTAAAATTTCACTCTCATTATTTTTTCATAACGCGCCTAAAGAAGTATAACTTCAAAAATATCCATTCTTCCATACTTTAAGGGCTGTTTGTTGACTTCGGAACCCTAAAAAGCAGATATTGGATTAACTGACAAAGTTGCTTAGGTATAAATAAAGCATTTTTTAATGCAGTTGCTCGGAAAGTGTTCTTTTATATTATGTATACACATTATGCGGAAAATGACTCTTTCCTGCACCAAGCAGCATTGTGTTAATTTCTTTTATTTGTTTCAATAAACAGCTCTCTATTTGTAGCAGTTCAGTTCGAAATTTAAATAAAACCTTTATTATGTTACCTCCTTGGTTCCCATGTTTCGGAGTAAAAAACTGTTCCATTTTTTAATTACACGACAGATATGAGTTCAGTATGTAGGGTAGACTATATAATGCCCCTTAAGCGGAATTCTTCATTTATTTGTCTGTAGTAAATTAATTATTAGTTATCGATTGAATGTAGTTCCACAATGCTGTTAAATAGGGTTTGATTGTCAAAATAAAAAGACTTGAAACAGTTCAATATTATTATATATTAAAACTAGTTGACCCAGCGAACTTCGTACCGCCCTAAAAAGATAGGGGTTGTCCAGCGGACAAAATTGTGAATCTAAACCATTCTCAGATCCCCTTGAACACACACAAAAATTTTCATCAAAATCGGTCCAGTCGTTTAAGAGAAATTCAGTGACATACACACTCACAGAAGAATTATATATATAAAGATATTCCAAAATCAACAGAAAAAGTTTCAATTAAATAGTGATTGGCCCTCGAGGTACAATAATTGCCCCCCACGTATATCAGTGATTGGCCCTCTGGATATTTTTCAATTCTAATATATTTATTTACCTGAATTTAACTTCGGATGGACGGACTTCTGTCCGCGAAGGACAATAGTTACTTAATTTTGAAAACAATGTTATGTTCAGGACAATAGTTACTTAATTTTGAAAACAATGTTCCAGTAAAACAAAATGCGTTAAGTTTACTCTACCTAATGTGAGACTAGTATAAAAATAAATGACCAGCCTGTAGAGTTAGTGGATTCTACAAAGTTTCTGGGTATTACTTTAGACTCTCGTCTGCAATGGGATCCTCATATTGATACCTTGTCAAGTAGATTGAGCTCTGCAGCTTTCGCTGTTAAAAAATTAGACTCTTAACTGATGTGGAAACGGCAAGATTAGTTTACTTTGGTTACTTTCATAGTGTTATGTCATATGACCTTTTGTTGTGGGGCTCAGCCGCTAATATCGAAAGTATTTTCATACTGCAAAAGAGAGCTGTTCGCGCCATATAAAATTTAAAGGCAAGAGAATCCCTTAGAGAAAAAATTAAAGAAATTAATATTTTAACACTGGCGTCGCAATACATTTATGAAAATTTAATATATGTAAGAAAAAACTATGATGCATTTGCAAAAAAAAGTCAAACCCATAACTTTAACACGAGATTTAAGAACAAGCTTGCCGTTCCATGTTTCAGACTCCAAAAATCAAGAGGTTCATTTCTAGGTTGTAGTATTGCATTGTTTAATAAAGTTCCCCTAGATGTGATTGAGCTTCCACTGACTAAATTTAAATCTCAGATCAAAAATACTCTTATGAATAAGGGCTATTATAAAGTTGATGATTATCTGAATGATCGTAATGCATGGACATAGTGTTTCTTATAATTTGTTAAGTAATATTGTACCTATCTAATGCCGCTTACTATATACTAAATATAATGTTAACCATAAAATTTATTGTAACTATATATTTATATTCTAAATGATGTAATGGAAGGTGACTTCAGTCGTATCTCTGAAGTCATTTTTCAACTTGACGACTCTGTATATAACAATACAGGGAGAAAATAACAGCCCTTGCTGAGTTTCTTGCCAGTTCTTCTCAGTACAAGGTCTCCCGCCGTAGTTTTGCGAACCGATGGCGTAGCTTCTTGACCTTCACAAGTGCTTGTAACAGCCTAGACTGAATAAATGACTTTTCATTTCACTTCAATTTAATACTTCTCAAGTCCGGCTTGGCGTGTCTGGTAACAGCGGTGCACAACCACTTGATTTAAAAGAAAATGGGTGCGTGTACTTATGTAGGCGCGTGAGAAGTTATCCTTCTTTCGCATCGTTTAAAATTAGTTTTTAATTGCATGCAAATAATTAATTACAATAAATTAATAAAAAGTCTGGAACTGGGAAACAGTCAATAAAGTTCAGTTTTAATTTGAAAAAAACCGGCCAAGTGCGAGTCGGACTCGCGCACCGAGGGTTCCGTACAAACCTCTAGGTATATTTTAATAATTATTAAAAAAAAAAATTATAGGATGTAACTAAGAATTTACGGTTTTCGCAATTTTTCCTTTATCTGTACTATAAGACGTTACTTCGTACCAAATTTCAAGATTCTAAGTTCACGGGAAGTACCCTGTAGGTTTTGATTCCCGTGCGAGTTTCGAAAATTTGCGACATAAACGGCTGTATCTTTTGATTGCTTTGGCTTAGAAGTTTGATTTTTTCGCAGGTCCAAGGGACAGTACTCCTGAGTATTATATATGAATTTCAGTTTGATACCTTTACGTGTTCCTGAGAAAAACGGTCTTGACAGACGGACGGACGGACAGACGGACAACAAAGTGATCCTATAAGGGTTCCGTTTTTTCCTTTTTAGGTACGGAACCCTAAAAATAAATAAATGATCAAAATATTCAATTAAAATCGCTACTGAATATAATTTATTAGAACATATGTGATTTGCACTGGGCCCATTCAGCACTGGAACCATTCCATACTGCGTCCATCCACACTGAGCCCATTCCGAACTGGGTCAATTCACACAGGGCCAATCCTCACTGAGTCCATCCACCCTGGGCCGATTCCTTTCTGAGCCCATTCTGCAGAGGGCCCATTTTCGAACTGGGCCCATGCCGCACTGGGCCCTTCCTAACCGAACTCATTCCGCACTGGATCCATCCACACTGGGCCCGTTCCGCACTGAGCCCATTCCACACTGGGTTCATTCTGCAGTGGGCCCCGTCTCGCACTGAGCCCATTCCGATACAGAAAGTAACCACTCCGTTTCAAGTTGTTTTGGAAGTGTCGACTACTAAAACGGAGTGGTTACTTTCTCTATGGCTGATCGAACTGGTGCAGCCTAGCCGTCAAACAGCGGTAGGCGAGTTGTGAGCACGGCGTCGCCTAGCCATACCATATCCAAACGTACTGGAAATGTTTATCCGCTTACTTTAGGTGGACGCCTCTTTGACAGTAAGCCGAAAGGCGAGTCGGTACCGATCCCTTTCCGAGATGATATGTGGCATCATTATCACCAGCCTATTAATGTCCTCCTTTGGATGGAATACAATGGAATAGGGAGATTGGGCCGTGACTCACTACGTGGGCCCAGTGTAGATTGGTGGGTGCTAACGACTGCAGAAGCACGGAGGAACTCGAGATAATAAGTTTTTGGTCACCAATTCAATGTCTGACCATTGAGAAAGTTTCTTAACTTCGACGATCGCAGGCCAAACGCGCTATCCACCTGCGCCATCGAGCGCAGTTGAATAAATATTAAAAAAAATTAAGGCAGCACATATGATATTTTGCAGTGATTAACATACATGCCAATGTTTGCACTCCCATACAAGAGATAATACTAAAGAATGGCACACCAAAAAATTTACGAATTTTCATCTGTACAGTAGTAACATTTTAGTACTTATTTTGAAAAAATTAAACATGAAGTTAGAAAATAATGTGTTTAAAAACACCTATCTCTTATTGACTTCAATAAAATGATTGCCCTTTTGTAGCATATGCGAAACAACAACAATCAAACACTGTTTTTTTTTAAATGTCATTTATAGGGGTCCATTAACTACTGAAGATTGAAAAATTGCCATCAAAGAATAATAAAAAGCTATCGCTGAGCTATAAAAAGCTGAGCTAACACTGAACCAGTGTTTTATTTATAAATTTCAATGCACGATGGTCAATCATTGTGGGGGCGCAACATTAGTATAGTTTCCCTAATTTAAATAAATGGCTTACATTTTTATTTGATTTCCTCGCCAAATATATTGAAAAAAAATGTATAACACGTGAGCTCAAAAGTTAGTACGAATATTGATAACACGAGCGCAGCGAGTCCTCTTTCCGCATGTGTCATAAACTATTATAATTTGATTATTTATCTATTATATAACTGTCACATTTTCAGGATTCCGCCGTCATAATGAACCTTTTAAGTTCTGCTGAGTTAGTCCGTCCGTCTGTCTGTATGCAGCTTTGCTCAAAGAGCTTTTAAGTACTAATTCTTGATATATTCAAGGTGATAGTTTGTTTTTGTTTTCTGTTAATCTGATAGTTTATAATAGGAGTGTCATCACCTAATTATATATGTGCTGGTGGGCAACTTTGAAACGGATGAGCGAACAGTAGAACATTTTATTCCTGACCATCTTTAGCCAGGTTCCGAAGAAAAACACGGATCAATGATTATGACAAGGCCCATAATAGTATTAGAAAAGGGAATAATAGTTAAGTACATCATAGGGTAAAAGTGTACATATGAGGTTGTTAGTCACTCCAGATCCGGAAATGAAGTAAGAGTCGCCAATGGCTGGCTAGTGTCTTTAATGGTTTGGCAGTAAGGCTAAAATTACTTACTCCATCAAGTTATAATTATAGGTACCTACTAACTTAATTAAAGCGCGTTCATAATTGGGTAATCGCTATTGCATCTGACAGGCAGAAAAGCGGTGGCTATGTGTAAATCTGATTTCACTTTATTGATTAATTTAAAATATTTAAAGGAAATGTATTTCCGTTGATAATTTTTTTTTTGTTAATTATGAATCATTAATCGACTATAAGAATACCTCATGTATTTACGATAAGATAATATTAGCTAAGCAATATTTTGATGTTAACTAAAAATAACATACGTTTCCAGTTTATTGAAATAATCTCACTGATAGCGTTGACATATTTATCGGGGCGCATCGAGAATCGAACGTAGACTAGCGACCGCTGCGCTTGCTGGTGCGTGTACCTATATGGTGTAACCGATAGACAAGCAGGAAAATATTAGCATTACGGTACGTTTCAGTAATAGTGTTTCTGTTTTGTTTTGTGCGTTATATTTGGGGTACGCGCGATCTCTACGCGACCGACCGCGAGCTCGCGACGCGAGTGATAAATTGAACTTTATACTCGATCGGACCATTCTACTACGCTACACGCAGTGTGAGCATTCAGGCAAGACGCCAGCTGGCCGAGTGGCCAGTAGTCACCCGTATATCGCTGTAGCAGCTCGCACGACAAGTTTTCCGCGTCACAAGTCGATCCTAACGGGTCGTAGGTACGTCGTTCATTCTACAATATAATTTTCAAACGTGCCTAATAAAATGTGCTATTCCATTCAGTGTCAATAATTAGTATGACACTTCGTTAATCCAATCGAATTTAGGCATTGTAACTACTACCGTAGAATCTAGGTAAGTCAAAAAAATACAAAATATAGAACTATAATTAATTTGGTTTGGCCAAATTTTTGATTGTGTAAACCATGCATTGAAATTATACCTGCTAGATATAATATCAACCAGTTTAATTTAATGCGACATATAATGGTTTAAATACTGGATTTTGTAGAGAATATTACCTATCATGTGAATATTATGTTGAATCTTGAATCAATAATTAATTTATAATAGGCAAAATAATTTTTAAATATTTTATATTAAAACCAATGTGACAAAACTTAAAAAAACGTACCTTTAAACACTTTTTTTATTTCTTACTTTCTACCTAAGTATTCACTAAATATTCATTAGGTATTACAGTGCCAAACTTCCAAAATTTATTGAACTTACTCCCTTAGGCCGCGTTGTTTAATATACGGTGAAATTTGACATTGGTTAAAATACTATAGAAAAAATAACCACAAGTCAACATTTTACATATTTACTATGTATTTGACGTGACATTAACTGTTGTCAAATTGGACTATGTTTCCCACAACGCGGCTTAGTGTTTTAATTCCTTTTATTAACGTCAAATAATTAAGTAACTTGAAATCATTTAGGAAAACCATTTGTACCCGATAATTGTAAAGTTAGGAACATCATTATTTATTGACTGTGTATTTTAATTAGGTATGCAATGTTAGTAGTTTTTCCCTGAGTCGTATTAATTGAATCAATTGTGCAAATAATCAACGCTCTATACTTGTTCGGTCTTCTAAAAATAAATCATTATTACATATCCTTCGTCCTTATCTATGTATAATTTATTCCATATGTGTTAGAAAGTAAGAAATTTTACCATTTCTTAGAAGTTAAGCAGTAGTGTCATTGTGCAAATTTTCATTTATTGTCACAAAATAAGTGCTTTTGTGTTTGTGATATTTTAATCATTTGTACATCCTACCTAACAGATACAATTTGCAGTTGCCTATGCGTGTGTGTTCAGTGGTTTTGATACATCTCCAGTGTACAAGTAACAAAAAAAATATCCAAATAAAATTGTTAAGAAACTTAGAGCGTCATCACAAGTAAGCTTAAATAGTGGTCCAAAACCAGACCCAAAATAAAGAAATGGCATTTATATTTTAAAGAAATATTGTAACATCTCTTGTATCTTCAAATTATTTTTCTATCATATTGTGTATCCTCTACATCGAACCGACCGACCGGAAATTTGTGCATACCTACGTAAACGTTTACTATCGAATCAAAGCAATGTGTGAACAATACTATTTTATTAGCAGAAATTTTACAAAACTAATCGATTTTTATACTTTGTGCTTCGACCAACAATGACTGAAGACTGTGTGTCATCAAAGTAAACTAATTGATGGGTGTTGAAATCCATCTTAATATATATTGATAATTTCTTGTAATACTTCCTATCCAGTAACAAACCCCTTTATTAGATAGGTAAGTTTCTCAACAGGGTATTCTAAAACAGTAGGCTCATCATTGACCACTTATTGCAATACAGATTTGCAAAATCTTTCTTATTTTACTGAAGTTACGATTATTTCTTCTCTAGTCTGCACGAAATTATTGTCTTGTAGGTATAGTACCTAATGTGAGTTTTAAATTTCGCCTCGGTCCGAAATGTCGGCGGTGTATACTTAGCGGTATCATGATTTAACACGTGCTAACCATTCATAGTGAACTGCGATCCGTTACTTCGCTACCCGGCTGGCATCACAAGTAAAAACTTTTTACGCGTCCTTTGCATACTTATTTTGAATTGAACGTTATATCCTTCAATTGATTATATTCGGCTTTCGTCTTCAGAATCATACTCTCTTACCACAAAAAAGTTAGCCGTGCATTGAACACGAGCTTGAAAAAAATTTAAGTCATACAAAATTTGCCTAAACATGTTTTAAAACAGTGTCAAACCTTTTTGAAGTAATGCCGATAATGTTCAAAACAAGATGTTGAAAAAAAAATTTACACCGTGCTTGTAATACGTGAAAAACTAAGTAATTTTTCACCAACCAAGTACACATAATATGCGTCAGTGACAAAGTCTACCATTAAGAAAAAAATAAAACACGTAAATGTTATGTTACTCAAAGGTTAAATGCGATAACATTATTGTACTTACTTCTTGTTACGACCTCCCTAGCTGAGTGGTTTAAACGTTGTTACTTGTAAGTGGAATTTATACCGTCTCCATATTTTGGGTTCGATGATGGAAAAAAGTCACTTTTAAAAGTGACTTTTCAAAGTGACCTTCTCTATAACGCGTAAAACCTTGCTTTGAATAACAAGCCAAACGACGGGTTGCACTCCGGGAGTGCCGGCAGAAGTGAAAGCTTGAATATTAACGTTGTGCATCTTTTATATTGTGGAATGGTTAGGGAATAATTTTGCACGAATTGCTTTAATTATCAGTATAAAAGTACTATCATGTATGTGGTAGAATACAATATTTATTTATTTCGCTATCGTACACAAACATGACAATTTATATTACATAAAAAAGTTTATCTCTCAGAAAAATCAACTTAAGTACATAAATCATGTTTAAGCGCACTTAGCGACATCTATTGTAAAGAAATCAACTTACATGAATCACATTTCAGCGCACCTAGCGACATCTATTGTAAAAAAAGGCATTTTCTTCTTCGCAATAAAGCTGCCACGTGAACGTCCTGAATAGAAACTTATTATTATAATACGATAAAATAAAATATTACTATGTTTCGTCCAATATATTGAAAGTCAACAACCTTTCCAATTTTATTGTGTGTCATGATGCGATCAGCCCATGTGTTTAACCTGACGCGAGTTTAATATTTTTACCCATATAAAAAAGTGTACAACGCCGCTAAAGAAGTTTTCACTTCAAAAATCTAAAAAAAGATATATATAAGACCACAGTAAAATATCTTTAGCTCCACAAAGCTACCGTTAGATGGCACTGTACCAACGGCTCTTGATTTGCGCTGTACCAAAGGCTTCTGAATCGCTCTACCATTACGTCTTTATAAAGAGTACTAGCTGTTACCCGCGGCTACGCTCGCGTGGTTTTCCTATTTGAGGCTATCATCCTCTTTTGACATAGTGAGTAAAAAAGTAGCTTATTTCTATTAAAATTACGGCGCTTTTCTGCTTGAAGCCGTACATTTAAATCTTTGCGCGCCTGTGCTTGTTCAGGTGTTTCGAACGACCTCAAAAAAGCTTGTCGTTCTGCTTGCCCATCAAGTCTTTGCTGAGTTTCAGCAGGTGTTTCTGCAGCTCTTAAAGCAGTTTGACGCCCCGCTTGTTCAAGTAGTCTTTGTTGAGACTGAACAGCCGATTCAACGGCTCTCAAATGAGCCTGCCGCTCTGTCTGCTCCTGAAGTCTTCTCTGTGTCTGCGACAGTGATTCTAAGGCCCTCAAATTCGCTTGACGTTCAGACTGTTCAAGACGCCTTTCCTGTGTCTGCGATTGAGATTCTGAGGCCCTCAAAGCAGTTTGGCGATCTGCCTGTTCTTGCCTTCTCAGTTCAATTTCTTCAAGAGATTCTTGCGACCTAGTTAATCTCTTTGCTCGTGCTTGAGAGGATGATACTCTATAAAGGCTAGATTTGCGTTTGCGCGTCATTATTACGGTGAAGGTACCTGAATTTTTTTTTTATTAAAAAAAATTACCTATTTTCGTTTTTTTTGAAGTTATACTTCTTTAGCCGCGTTATGAAAAAATTATGAGAGTGAAATTTTAAGACGCGCGCGCATCACTGTAACACAAAAGTAACATAATGAAGTTAGCCGCGGGCGCGTTATGAAAAAATCATGTGAGTGAAATTTCGAGATGCGGCGCATCAGGCATTGTCCTAATACAACGCGATAACGCGATCATCGCGCGTTTAAACGACGCGACCATCGCGTGATCGCGAACTGGGTGTCCTAAACTCCTAATAGAACGCGAATACGGAACGGGTTAGCCCTGCCCCTCTCCCCGCTTCCTGTCGACGCGACGCGATCATCGCGCGAACTTCAGTTAGGACACCTATTCATCATTAATAGGTTTGATTGCGCGTTCGCGCGAACTTGGTTCGCGCGAATAGATTTTTAAACATTTTAGTCGCGCGAATGCATCGCGCGATCGCCTATTAGGACACCTATTCTAGATCAATATGTTTGATCGTCGACTCGTACGATGATCGCATCGCTCATTCGCGTTATCGCGTTGTATTAGGACAATGCCTCACTGTAACACAATAGTAACACCATGAAGTTGGCCGCGGGCGCGTTATGAATGTTAGTGTCTAATAATGGTGGATTATTAACCACTTAGTGGTTAATAATCCACCATTATTAGACATCTGTTCGAAAGGTACTTTGAACGATCCACGGAGCTCCATAAGATGATCGCGTTGTCAAAAACAATGTTGGCACGCTCGTCGCCTCTGATCACTGTTTTCATATTTATAATATTTATCCACATGTTTCTAGTTTCGTCTATATAGACACAACGTGTTTTAGTTACTTACAAGTGCTAATTACATATGGACTAATAACTTAAATTCAGTAGTGATTTTAATTGAATATTTTGAATATTTATTTAATTTTTCAAATTAAAACTGAACTTAATTGACTGTGTTAACTATCCCTTTCCAGTCCTTTTATTATTTTATTGTAATTATTATGTATTTGCATGCAATTAAAAAATATTTTTAATGATGCTAAAGAAGTATAACTTCTCACGCGCGTACATAAGTTACACGCATCCATTTTTTTTTTGTTCTGTGGCTGTTTCCGTTTCACACAGAAATTTCGCCAATATCCCGTAGTGAGTAATTACCAGAAAAAAAAATATTTTATCCGAATAACCCTTCTTCCTTGAGCTTTTGTT